AATAAAACATTTTAATGCGCCTTAATTACCCCAATCACTTAGCAATAATATACCTTATAGGAAGAAATAATATACTTCAAAGAGTAGGAGTGACAAATGATTACGGAGTAGTTGAAAAATACTGGAACGACTGGAAGAAATACTGGAAAGAGCTGTTCGCGGTCTCATTACGTCTTCATGACCCTTCTTCTTTGTCTTCCGTTACAGTTTACATTATTTAGCCTCCACTGTAATGGTGTATTCATTATATTTTCACGCATGGAATGTTGACGGAACGAAACGAATGTACAAAGGAATCATATCAAAGGTAATTTTTCTCAAGTTATGAAGTTCAATGATCCATAATCGAACTACAGAAGAAACTTGTATGAAAACTCCCTTCAACTAGTTTACGAGTTTATTGATATATATATATATATATACGTCAATACAGTATACAAAAATCTGGTACGGGCATCACTTTGAACAGAAATTATTTTTTGGCAAAGTTGAGCAATTGCAAAGTCTTCGAAGTGAATTTTTTATAGAGCTAAACCTTAAAGCACAGAGCTAAACTGTAAATACTTATTAAAACCAAAGTTTCACTCCATTTGTCTTTTTGAACCAAATAAGTCTGAGCTTAATTTATACAGAAAGATTATTTTCAGAATATTCTTAATTTAATTAATATTATTTATTAATTGCAATGTCTTCTCCATTCCTTAGGTCAAATAAATTAATGTAATTATGTCTTTAAAGTAGTATGCTCAAGTAAGATCAATAGCTTCCTCATCATTTCCATTGGTTAAATAAATCCTTATTTTTCGAGGTCTATGATTGCGATTTGAGGACAAAATCTACAAGAAGAGCTGTTTATACTTACACTTATCTATATATGAAAAGTTTTCGAATCTAAGTTTTCGTCGCGAATAAACATTTTGAATTTCCCTAATTTCAAATAATGTCCGGTGAATAGATCAGCTCAAAAACGAAAATTCGTATGAAACTAACATTTTTAATGTAGGTATGTATATGCTTCGAATTTTATAGAAACTTCTCCCTGAAAATTACCTAAGAAGAAGTGCCACTTCGATTTTACATATTTGTACAATATGTAAAAATATGTACAGCTCTATAGGTTTTGGAGGATTATCAAGAACTGAGAAAGCAGCAAGACTGGAAAGAAGTTGATTCGGATGGGACTGAAGTTTTGGAATGATAGGATAGGTATCTGTCTCGAGCTAAATGAGCGACAAATGGAATAAGGTCTTTATGAATAGTTTTATTTGTGATAAAATATGGGGCATTGAGAATTTTACGAAGGTTTTTGGATTGTAAGGGTTGGATACGATAAGAATTCGATGGTTTGGAGGAGCCCCAAACCTTAACTTCGTATACGGTAGACACCAAAATTTCCATTACAATGGAAAAATGTATTTATTAAAATGATACACAAAACAGGCAAAGACATATAGGTCTTATTATTGCCATATAAATGAGTCTTTTCTAATTAATTGAAACTTTAGAGCGTTTATCTAGCAAGTGTTGGAGCAGTGGTATTTTTTTCTTTTTGAAAATGAATTTCCGGAAATTGACAGAACATAAATGCATAATAAATCGTTGGAAAGCTGAATATTTTAGAAAATATAATTAATGGAAGCTAAATGTTTCAATGGAAATGGAGTTTAAAGTTCCTCAATAAATGTGAACTTCTAAAATTATTTTTAAGATAGAAAAAAAGTATATGTAATCCACCAAATGAAGGCAATGAGCATTTTTCTCATAAACTATTTTGTTATACTCGTATTAAAAAAAGAAACGAAATATAAAAATAATTTATAGATGAATAAAACACATGTTTATAACCTTAAATACATTTACTGTAGCTTAATAACTCCAGATCCGATATCATATTTCAATAATTAAGAATATATGTATTTTATTTTCAATATCTTATAAAGTATAGATGTACGTTATCAAAAAAAGTTCAGAAATAGCCGATAAATATATTAAAATAAAGATTCCAGTCAAACCGAAACAGTTAAAAAATAAAAGTGAAAATTCCATTTTAAGTCCTGTCCTTACCATAAGAAAAAAAAAATCAACAATAACTAGAAAAATTTTATCATGAGAAAAGTTACGATTGCTAACAGTATCAGTCATCAGATGAGGCTTTCGCTATCAAGTAAATACACGAATCATCGTGACAGCCAACTCATCTCCGAACTTGCAATAGTAAACATGAGTAAGTAGGACTAAGGCAGAGGCAGGCGTGAGTTTAACAACAGCCACCTTGATTGATGTAACCATCCCCAGTGCTAACTAAGTAATGATCGAAGATACAGTTGGCAACTGTAGTTATCGATCCTATAACTTCCTCCAGCCTCCTCTCATTAACTCGGTTAATCAAATATTCCGGTTGATAAATGCATGATGGCTATTCCCTTTGAATATGTTTAGCTCATTCCTCAGGGAAACACCTCATATCACAGAAATTCTCTTCAAATATATTTAGCTCCTACGAACTGGAATGCCCAGAAGGAGGCATCAAAATTTTTGAGGGGTTACATTTTCACGGAGGTATAAATTTTCAGAATAAAAAGTTCAAATCAGAGAACAAAATGAAAAATATGAAACAGACCACATCAAGTGCAACGGTACACAATCTACAATTTTACTTATTCTACTTTACTTTTATCACCATTTTTAATAAGAGTAGAACTATGAAATTTCTTGGGAGGAGGATGGAGGTTCATGCGTCATCGATCTTGGATGGAGAGGACATCTCTTCGTATGAACACCAGCCAAATATTTTTGATCATTTTCTAATTGACTGGTCTAGAACAGAATGTAATCACAAAAAATATTATGCATACAAAATGTGTAGAGTTAAAAGATTAGTGGATCCTCAAGAGTCCTGAAGATTGTATAACGAACAAATTAAAAAAAAAATTGGAATTAATAATTTTAAGTGTTTCTCATAAAAACAAGAGAAATAAATATTTGAATAAAACTATTGATGGCGAGGACAATTTGGTGTCAAAACATACATACATATATATGTACATATTTTTTTTCTCAAGTAGCCTTCATTGGATCGCATGAGATGAAATCGGTATAATGGCTTGTTTTTTTATACAGTATAATCCACAACAATTTGGCTAAACTTCATCAATATTTCGGTATTTTCAAGCGGATTATAGAAATTTTCGTTATCATTATTTTAATTTTTTTTTGCTCCTCTGGATTTTTTATATAATTGAATTGTGGTCATAAAAGCAACTTTAATGAATTTAAAAACCTTTCTCAATTTGTTTGTGATTTTTTGAGGGTTTATGCGGTTGTAAAGGGTTAATCAAAATCACACTAGAAGATTGAAAAATTGTATATGTAATGAATTAGTTTTAGGATAGTTGGGTCTTGGGTCTCTTTTTATTGTTTTTTTCCATCCTCGTCATTTTGATATATTAAATTTTAAAACAAACAAGGCTTTTCCATCGACTTCTTTAAAAATATTTATATCAATATTGTATTATTCATGAATAAACACACAAACATATATATTTATAATAACAATTTTTTTTTAGTAAGTTATATGTAATTGTAAATGAAAAAGAAAGGTATGTAATGAAAAAGAAAGGTATGGGTGATATGACATGCAAATTCCATTCATACCGTGATCATCTTATAATTCATTTATTTTTTTAGTTTTTACAGATAAACTGGTTTCATCGAATAATTTCAGGCTGTAACCTTTTTGTTATTTAAAGATTTATTGAAACCGGTCAATGCTATATATATAAAAATTATCTCATTTCATACTCCACAAGAAGAACATATGAAGAGAGTTACCGCAGCGAATCCAAGTTATAATGTTTTTGTTTTTATAATAATGGTAATTACTTTAGAAGAAACAGGGATAAAAAACTACCTATAAGAAAATATGTTTAAGTGGTTCTAGAAGGGGAAAAAAATCAATAATGCTTTTAGACATAATTCTAATATACATATTGAATTTGGATAAATTCAGTAGCTGCTTATGCATTATAATAAAAAAACAGAATGTTATGTGATTTTGTAAGTGATGTATTTTGGAGGGGTGGTTAAGTCCGAATGAAGTCCATAGATCCCTCAGTGGTAAACCAATACTTTGCAAAGTGAAGAAGTAGTGCATAATGGCGAGAGTTGAAATTGAAAAAAATCGTCAGGTTTAATTTAAAAAAAAAACAGATGGCTCATGGAGATAGTTCCTTCTTGGTGAGTCTGTAGAAGTAGAATTAGTACCAACTCATAATGTCTTCTTCTTCATAATTGACTCATAATCTCTTCTTTGTTACGTCATCAGTCATCACAGATCTCCGCTAGGCCAATCTAATAGAGAATCCTAAATTTGTATCCCACAAACCTTGAGAGTACCAAAGACCCTTTATTTACAATTAGTAGTAATTAATAATATAACTAATAAAAAATGTAAGCAATGAAATTGAAATGTAAAGAACTGTTAACGAAAATGATGGAAGATATTAAAAACTGGAAGAATTTAGTTTCTACATTAAAAAAAATAAATAAATAAAAGCAAATTCAGTTAAATCATCCTTCCACTAAAAGAACATTGAGATGAATTTAAAGCTAAACCTATCCTTAGAAGCAATGTTTAATAAATTTACAGATAACTAAATAATAAGAAATCATTTACATGTATTAAAACCAGCCAACGAATATGGAGGGCGAATTTCTGCTATTTTGATCTTGAGAAAGAACGTTTGCTGTAAAATACTGATATGACTGATATATACTTACCTAGGTTTCACGAAGTTAGACTCTAATTATTAGGAAGAGAAACTCCTTCTCTTCGAATGAAAGATTTGAACCAATTAAGAATGAACGGAACCAGTGGACGAGTGGCTATAACAGGGAGATATGTGACCTCTTTGAAGAATGTCATTTATTTAATAAGGTGTGGTCGACTGAGATGGGCAGACCGCATAGCAAAAATGAATGAGGAAGAGATCCACAAGAAACTACTGTTTGGGAAACTGGACAGGTTGAGACGAAGTGAAGTGAGAAGATGCTCTCAAGAAGGATGCTAGGACACTTAAGTGTACGAATTGGTGAGCGGCTGCAGAAGACCTAGCAACCGGATAAAGGATCTTCGAGGAGGCCAAGGTATACATCGGGCTGTATTGCTATTAAAAATAAAATAATTATTTACACCGTGTTAGAAATTAATAAAAAAATTAAATAAAAATATTTTACTGATTTAAGGTAAAATAGAGATTGTTAAACCTCTCATTGATCCGCACTGCGAAAACTATAGACAACCAAAATTACTCAAAAATAATTTCTTTTATTTTTAAATAATACAGTTTTCTTTCTTAACTATGGTTTGTGAATAATATTGGGAAATATTTACAGCTTCTTGTTTGGATATTTGATGCGTTTATTTTGAAAACGAGCCATTAAACATCAGTATTATATTTCTCCCACCCCCTTGCTCATCGCATTAATCAATAGCAAGGACAGAACGTTTTTTGCTGCGAACAACTGGTCTAATGGAACTACCATGACATTAGATTTCCAGATGCAGATCTCTCGTTCACTTCATTGATCGGGAATGCTGAATTTTCATCAGTCCCTTCCAACTTCGGTGAAAACTCTTTCCGAACCAACTCCTGCTACAACTTGTCCTCATAAACTTAAATATTTAACTGTAATGACCTTTGTGCTAAATATTTAATTATTAATTTCCTGATTTTAATATTCAAATTTATAAATAAATTATAAAACCGTTGAGCAAACTATTTTATCTCGAATGACTCTACATCTCTCGAAAGAGATAAAATTAACATAAATGATTCATTATCATTTATTTTAAATCTTAGATTTTTCAGATTTTCATATTTTTTTAAATTTTATTTCAAATCTTAAACTGAAGAATGTTATGATAATTTAATATCTCTTATTAACTTTTATTAAAGTTTAAATGTTGAAAACAGTGTCTTAAACGTTAATAGATTGTTAATAAACATAATTTGAGCAAGTTTATAATCTCAGAGGAAGGATCTTCGTTAGGATCGCTTAGCACAGTTTAGAGACTGATCCGATGAGCACAGCACTTAGTTTAGAAACTGACCCCTTATCATTTTTTTTTTCTGTAGTCATATTTGTCTCCATTGGATGGAACAGATATTTAACCAGAAAAATTAATTTTTTAATGTAATAAATGGAAAAATCCAAACTACAAAGGCATGAGTCTTCAACATTCAGATGAAAACTTCCCAACGATTCACGAATTCAGGCATCATGAGGACAGAAAAATCAAATTCACTTATATGAAGCAAGAAAAAAAAATATGAATAAAAAATATTGCTGTAAACATCTCACGTATTCATGATTTTCTTGACGAATTTGGATTTTTCCATTTATAACATAATTACTTTATGTCTCTTTTCTAGCTACATGCTTATTTTAGTCATTTATTTTTCAATTTAATGATAAATTTTTAAAATTTTTGTAAATAATATATCTTTATATTGAAAATGAGAAAAAGTATATGCAACGTTGAATTCAGATAAATACGTCATCCTAATAATGAATCTTCACAATTCCGTGATGAAAAAATACAAAATAAAATTAAATAAACATATCCAGTATACCAATGACTTCCTGTCCTATAGTATCCTTTAATAACACTCCACTTATCCCTGTAGAACAAATCCGATACCTAGGACTCCAGCTGGACAAACGTCTCACTTGGAATCCTCATACAAGACTGAAACGACAAGAAACTGCTCGACGTTTCCGCTTACTCCAACACTTACTGGACAAACGCTCTAAACTTTCAATGAATTACAAACGACTCATATACATGACTATAATAAGACCTATTTGGACTTATGGAGTTGAGCTGTGGGGCACCACTAAACCATCAAATTCCTCTCGTATCCAATCTTTACAATCCAAAATCCTTCGTAAAATCCTCAATGCTCCTTACTTTGTCACAAATAAAATAATCCATAAAGACCTCAATGTTCCATATGTTTCCGATTTGGCCAAATCCAGATACCTATCCTTCCATTATAAACTTCATAACCATCCGAATCCTCTTGTTTCTAACCTTGCTTCCTCTTCGATTCCTTATAACCCTCCGAGGCGTCTGAAAAGGAGATGGCCTCGTGATCTCCTCATTTAGACAAATTATTAGAGTGCTACCAATGGGTAGTTTCTCAACAAGCGTGTTTCATGTGATAATATTCCACATTTACTTGATGTATTCATACCAATACAGTTGTAAATATCATATTAAAAGTTAAAAAAAATATATATATATATATCCAAATACACAAAACCTTATCATTACTCGTGCTCAAAAATGTTATGAAATAAGGAGTTAGATTACAACTATAATTTATCTGAAATGCATTGTCTGATTTTCATATTAAGGATATAATCCGAAATTGCCATTTTTCAAATTAACATTTTGGCAAAATGTTTCATAAACAGACCTTTCTAAGAACAGAAGTTCTATAAAATCTTTAATCGAAAGTTTTCATGAGAATAAGTTCATGTTCCGAAATAACAGAATAACAATTAAAAATGAAAGTTCTAGACATACCGGAACCGATTAAAAATAAAATTCAACTTTTAATTTCAAGCCCAGCTTTCCTTACCACTAATAGAAAAGTAAAAATTAAAAAATCAACAGGTAAGTATGTTTTTCATTAATAGTACTAGTACTGGTGGGCTTATTGGTTCTTTTACCTAATCCGAAAATCATACGAATGATGATCTATATTTACCGCCATCTCTGTCTCAGACCATTTCGTTCTTCTAGCGACGTTCAAGAGAGTTGTCAATTCGTTGCAGGAAGCTTTACGTTCTAGAACTCAGTCAGTACTTGAGGAGTCTTAATCTAAGGTGTGATGATGGGTCAAGTTCTATTATATTGTGTAGGTTTTCGGTGATTCTCCGTCTCGTACATGGCAGAGTTCATCCTTCAAGTTTACAGTGGCTTGTTAGCATCCCATTAATTAGTCGAATTTCCTTTTTATTTAGGCCTAAAAAATTATTTTAGAAATCATTAAAATTAATTAATACAAAGTAAATTAACTCTTTGACGCCGAGGTTGCTATCAATCTTCCCCCGATGTGTATAAATATCATCAACTCATTTATTTATAAATAATAACAAACGTTATTTAACAATCTTGATCCAATTATCGCTAACTTATTTACGTAAAAAGCGTTAATGATCGATTTCTTCGTTGCATAATTCCTAGACCTGTAATAATATATAATTTTATACATTTTTTTACCAGTCTGAAGTGAACTTGCCTGGATGGTTTTAGTGTGTTTAGGTTAACCGTCAGTGAGATCTTGTGAATAGTTTGAAACCAATTGAGCACAAAGTAATAAAAGAATTTTTCGATATACCTTATTATTTAGGTATTCTCAATATATTATTGGTTTCATAATCAGCTTTTTTTCTTTAGTTCTGTTATATTGTGTAGGTTTTCGGTGATTCTCCGTCTCGTACATGGCAGAGTTCATCCTTCAAGTTTACAGTGGCCTGTTAGCATCCCATTAATTAGTCGGATTTCCTTTTTATTTAGGTCTAGAAGCCACTTAGTTCTAGATGAGAAAGTGTTTTAATTAATTATTGTCTGAGCATGTAAATCACACCACTCCTACTACTTTTTTCGTATGTCCTATTAAGACTTCCTTTAGTTGATGTTTCTTTGTTATTCCTATTGCAGGTTCTGTTCCCATTATAGGGATATCAGCTTCATTTCTGGCGAGGATGTCAGCTTTCACATTTGCTGTGAACCGCTTATGACCAGGGACCCACACTAGCTCCACTATCTTAGAGCAAGCGAATGTCTCCAATGCCTCTTTACATTCCAGCAGCAGTGTGGGTGCCTCTTTGGGGTACTCTAGGACTTGAAGAGCTGATTGTCTATCTGGATAGATAGTAATTCCTCCTGTCCTCTCAAAATTGATAACTTCCGGAAATATGGCAGTAGATAGGCAAACACATCCTTTTGAAATATGGTAGAATGTTTGCCTAATGGGGTGCTTAATTCTGTGCTTGGATTCTCTATATAGACATCCGCACCAGTTGAGTCTTTCTTCCATTCGTTTGTGAAACAGGACAGATATTTTTTAAATGAAGTATTAATAATAAGTTTTTGGTCAAGTCCTCAAGAAGAAGTAATCAAGATCAAGTATCTTATTCAATTAAGCATTGTAATACGTAATTAATTGGGAATTGTCAATGTTTTGAAGGTTTTAGATGATTTTGATAAAATAAGATAAATTTAAAACAAAATCACAATTCAAATGTTAAAAGAGGATGAGTATTCGACTGGCGTAGACATGCAGTCTATTTATTCAAGCCTCGATATCCGCAATGAAGTGCACAAAAAAAAAAGGTAGCGACAAAAAGTTTATTAAAAGTGTGTCAGGCAAAGAGGATTTCAGCCCCTCTATTTCACTCCACAGTAAATGACATGTTTTCCTCCTCTTTTTAATTACTGTTTTTTATATAGTTTCTCCCCTTTTTACCAACGAAATCGACGCTTTAGGCGACGATCCTGATATTTGAGATATAAAACAAATAAAGTTATGGTATAATTCCAGTTTATAATTATAATTCTCTAAAGGGACTTTGTCCCAGAAAAAAAAATTTATATCTATATATCCATTTTTTTCTAACATTATAGAGTAATTAATTAAAACAATAGTGTAAGAAACTGATAATCTTTGAATATCAAGTTAAGGAACTACATTTGATCCCAAGCTTGTGGGTGATGATGACCCAGAACTGATAAATTTTATAACATCAGAGATGTGATATTCTACAATAGATGATAGTTAATAATTGAATCATTGAAACCACTGCAAATCATTGGAACTTGAATATTGTATTCATCCCATTACTTTCTCTGCTATCTTAAAAGCACGTATGGGAAATCCTCCCCCAAACCTCTCACTTACCTCTTTAAGTACTAGTATTTGAATACCTTCAGTGCTTGTAACATGGCTAGTAATATAATATTTCTTTTAAATTTACTATGTAAATTACTTTATAAAGGAAGGAGACGGTCCGTGGTTGCGGTCATAAATAGGCTAAATAGTGGCAAAACTATTTTATTAAAAGTCAACGTTTCGATTCGACTTTGCAGGTCTTCTTCAGGGAGGTGTGTTCAGCTAGGAGTTTCACTTAGAACTGAACTTGGATTTTAATAAAATAGTTTTGCCACTATTTAGCCTATTTATTACCGCCATCCCGGACCATCACCTTCCATTATAATGAAACGGTCAACTATTAAATATTCAATATTACTTTATTGTTTATATACTTTATAGTAATAGCTTATTACGTATTCAATTAATCTATCGCTTGTATTCACAGCATTCTGCTTTAATTTTTTTTCATATCATCGATATGTATCATCCATCACTATTAATCATTATTTACTATTACCTATTTTATAATGTTATATCGCTGATTTTATACAATTTTTTAGACCAGATGAGTCCCAAGCTTGCGTTGAAACGATGGCAATAATAAAAAACTGATTGCGACCTGATTATTTATCATCCATGTTTTCCATTATAATTCTGAAGTTGTATTAATATTAAAAGCCAATAAACCTTAAGATTGGCTAAATACCTATCTTCCTGTCAGCCTTATTCCAGTGCTTAAAAATAATATCAATACCTTTTTTATTGTTTAGAACTGGAGATATTCCTACTCACCCCAAAACCCTCCTGGCAACATTCGCTAATGACACAGCTATCCTATCTTCCAATCCAGATCTAAAACGGCACCTCAAACCTACAAAGTCACCTTTCTCTTATTGAACATTGTGTAAGAAGTGGCGCATCAAAGTAAATTAATCAAATCCAAACATATCACTTTTACCCTTCGGCGCAAGTCTTGACCACCATCTACTTCAAATCCGTACACACTTCCCTCTCTCAGGACACAGTCCGGTATCTTGGGCTTTTCTTCTAGATAAAAGACTAAGGTGTAAAACCCACAAACCAGACTTTAAAAGACAACCTAAACAGACGATTTGGACAGCTTATATAACTAATGAATAGAAAATCTCAACTTTCAGTCGATCAACAAACAACTATCTACAAGACAATCCCTAAACCTATCTGGACTCTACGGACTAGGCTTTGGGGCTCAAAAAACCTTCAGAACACTTAAGCCCCTTCAATCCTTTCAGTCTAAAGTCCTCCGAACAAATATCGATGCTCCCTTCTATGTATCCAACTAACCCTCCATAATTCCTTCATATACCAATTTTTTATGACCTTAATCTCAACAAATTTTCCAAATTTCACAGAAACTCACTCATCTTCCAAAACATGTAGCACAATCCCTATCTAGCTCCAGCCATCCCTAGATAATCCTCCCGCGGAGGTTAAAAACCGGCAGTGGCCCCGCGATCTTTTTGTAAATATTGTATATTGAGTATTGGCAATGGGCCAGATTCTCCACTCATGTCCTCAGCGTCTGTTGCTCTAAGTGCCCTACATCACCTCCACTGGCTGCAATAGCCATTGACGCGGCTGGGAAGAAGCCAGGGATCTCCTGGGTCACCTGCTTGCACCACATAGGGGGACAAAGCATAACTCGGAATCCTCTTGGCGAATGAAAATATTTGTATATAGAGGTATAGTGTGTTTTAATATTTTAATTTCATGTTAGGCTTTCTCTATTTGTTTCTTTCCCTCTTGATTTTTTTTTTTTTTGTTTATCCTATGTTTAACTCTTTGTATGTTATATATGTGTGAATGTTTAATGTAGCCCTAATATTAATGCCCTCCAATGCGGCAGAATGTATTATTTTTCAAATAAAAAAAAAAAGAACTGGAAATGTAATCTACTAATCGAGGACATTGTTGTATGGTTGAATAAAATTGTATGAAGTCAAACTAATAATTTTGAACAGACGATGAAGAAGAAATTTTTGGAATGATTTGGAAAAGGAAGAAACGACGATAGGAATTAGGGCAATTTAAAGTCTTTTAGTATCATAAAAACTAAAAAATGACTCCAAACAGCTGTAAAATATGCCAATTTAAATATAGGTGTTTTTCAAGGTAAGTTTTCAGGAATATAATTTATGTAATTATACTATTCTTAATTAATAGAAAAAATAATGGTCTTACAGAAAAGATAATAAGAGGATCCCTTAACTTTCGCTAGGGTTACAGTTATCTCAAGACTCCAAGAAATTCTAATGCTTCTCTCTCAGATTTGTCACTGTTATCAATTGGTAGTGGAGGCCGAGAAAACGCGTGATAATCATCGGCGTATATGTCTGGTGTGGAGAATTTGCCATTGCCTGAACTTAAATATATACTTATTTACAAAAGTTCTCGGGACCACTGCCGTATCAACCTTCAAGAAGGATTGTGAGGATGTGCGGATATTGCGTTTCAGACTTTTGATGATAATATTATGATGATATATGGAGTATTAAGATCATCATGTCATTAAACATATCCTATGTTTGTTATATGGAACAGAGCATCCAATATTGTTCGAAGGACTTTACATTTATCTTTAAAGAGATAAGTTAAATAGGATTCAAAAACATAAATTAATTTAAAGAATTTAAACAAATTCCCAAACAACCACTTATAATACCTTTTCGAACGCTAATTAAAAGGAAAGTCGTTTGTAAAAAATGGAGCAATGGAGTACAATTAATCCAGCGCTTTATTGAACTTGGAAAATGTTTTTTCTAATAATTTTTTTTTTTTAGCTTTTTCATCTTTCCTCTCTGCTCTGACTGGCATTATTAATGTCGGCATTGAGAAGGCCTTTCCTTCTTAGAAAGGCTATGAAATCTTTAATTTCCGAGAGATAGGGAGAAGGACGGGGGGGGGGGGGTGAATTAGCCCCTTGAGTAATCCGTAAAACCAATCAAGGCTGGGTATCGATAATCTTCTCCAGCTTCCTCCTACCGCCTACCATCTTCTTCTAGGCCTCCCTAATCATCACGTCCTTCATCCTATTGCCATCAAGCCTTATGATTACTCAGGATTATACTCGACTAAAATAGCACTTTTTCTTAATGATCGTAGAATATCTAATCAATCTTCGACGATTCTATCTCTTGAATTATTAGATTTATTGCAATCATTATTGATTAATAATACACTTATTAATTTAACAATTCTTTATTGGGAAATGATACATTCTGTCACATCCAAGAACACTAGTAAAGTGACAGTTCATTCAAACTCAACAATGGGGAAAAAAATAAATAAACAGCATAATAATAATATGTAAATGTATATAAAAAAGAAGGAAACTAAACGGATCACAATAACAACTCAAATTCATACATGCTTTTGTACAATATTTACATAATGCATTCACTCAGGTATGCAAAATCCGAGCCAACTCTTTTCTCTTATCCGTAGAAGAAAAGGCAGGACTCTAAAAGATCCCAGTGCCTCTCATTCAGCCGAATTTCTGGTACTAATTTATAATGTGAGAAATTGAAAAAACAATGGTAATGAGATTAATTAAAAACTAGTACGCTCTTGGAAATAATTTGTGTAGTACATTTGTAACCAAATGACAAATTGATAAGGGAATAAGATTATGCAAAGATATCATAACAATTTGGAATCTATTCTCTTTTACTCAGTAATTCTAATTGACCAACGAAAAGAAAATTAATTAAAACCATTTCTGTCCAAACCATCATTACCACAAGGAGCAGTATTATCCCATTTATACTTTTTCATCTACTCGGCAAAAATAGTAAGGTATAATTATAAGCGAGCAACAATCGCCGCCTTCGTGGACGGTGTTGCTATTTACAGCAGTAGCCTGAATCCCATCCTAGCACGTCGTCAGGCCGAAACTACAGTCGCGAAATGGTTATGAAGTTACAACGATCAAACATGTAGGTTTACGTGTAAGTCGACCCGACGAAGACGTATGATATGATGACATGATCAGATGACGACGTATTGATTAGATTAGAACGCCACATGACCCTCTCAGCCCACTGCTACAAAAAGACGCGGTTGACCCAAAAAAGATCGTACCGACTACACCTTACAATTTACAAGACCTGCATTCCGTTGTGGTGCTC